CAACATCATAGTTAATTAAGGAATCTTGTATTCAAAGGAAACTGATCAAGATTGCACAGAAGATCGATGTAAATGAGGAAAAGCTTTCTGTCCACATATATTGGTAGTCTTGTTTACGGAAATCTACTGTGGTTTGATGTAAAACATGAGGTATATGAATTCATGGAGATTTCTTCCTATCCACAGATGTGAGAAATCAATCCATAAAAAAGAAATTCATGTGTCATGTGTTTTGGTGATTACTAAAACATGTTCAATTCTCAACCCATAGGTGTGAATTGATAATGTACAAAAAATGAGGATAGACATCATATTTTATATTTTACATATTTACAGCTAACAATAATTCAATCGAAACACTCACTAGCTCCAACTAAACCAAATGGAGAGAGGATTTGGAAATTGCTCTAGGATTGCTAGTCTTTGAGATGGTACTGAAAGAAGATCCACGCCACAACAACCAGCTGCTAATGCCTCAATTGAGGTCAAGGCCAAATATGCCAAATGGAACAAGGCAAACAGAATGGTCATTCTCATTATGACAAGATCAATCTCACCCTTTGGGAGAGGTGTCATTCCTTCATTTGACAATGCTAATGCTTTCCTTAAGGGAATTTGAGAAAAGTTTCAAGAATCTAAGAAAGCTGAGATAGGAAACTTGATGGGTCAATTGAAAGATTTGAAATATGATGGGGAAGGTTGTGTCAGGGTTCACATAGCAAAAATGCTCGACATTGGAAACAGGTTAAGATCCCTGGATGTGAATGTAGATGAAGCTATGATGGTGTATTTTGCAATCAACTCTCTGCCGAGTATTTTCAAACTTCTCAATAGCACTTACATTACTCAAAAGGAGATGTGGACTATGAATGATCTGATAGATATTTGTATGCAATAGCAACAAGACAACAAGAAAGAAAGGGAACAAAACTATGTCAATGCAATACATGATATAAAAGGAAAGCCAAAATCATATGAAAAAACCTATACAGTAGCAAGGAAAGCAAGAAAACATGAGGAAGGAAAGGAAGGAAAACCTGTTGGATTGAAGTTGTTAGAGAGATTTCCTCTTGTCAATCAAAATTGATTTTCAGTTACACAATCAGTTTCTCAATCTGTTTGGGCCAAAATTATGCACGCCAGCCCATTTTCATCGAGAGGCCCATGAACCAAAAACATTTGGGCTATCTACAGAAATCAGAAGAAGAAAACCAAGGCACTGGAAAAGCCCAGACCTTTTTTGAGCAAATTACGAATGTAGCCATGATCTGGAAGGAATAAAATACCATTATTGGCATTTGAAAGCTGATACACACAGTTTTGGATAAAAGCCCAGCTTCTGAGAAAATCTCACCACTTGGTCTCTATCCCAAAAGAGCCAAAAACATCAAATATTTTTTCACAAAAAAGCCCCCACATGACTACCTGACTTTGGAAAAGTCAAAATTTTCAACTAGTCACAAGAGAATTGACAGGGAATTAATGAAGGCAAGTCTTAAACAGGCAAATATCTCCAGTCTTTTCAGTTAGAAGAAGATCAAAATCCATTTCTATACAATTCTACATCAAGACAAGCATTATTTCCAAGGGATAAGCAGACTACATTTTCTAAAGAGATAAGTAGGGTGCAGGGAGTTGTTCATCTGGAAAATCAAACTAACCATCACGACAGGTTGAACCCTTGCAAAGAGCAGTTAGAAGTTGAAAAGGGATTAGGCTTTCTTTTAAAAAAAACAGAGAAAGAACTGACTGTTGATAGCTTTTTGACAGAATAGATAAAAATCCTATTTTCCTTGACATATAAAATAAAAGATCTTGTCTTTAGGAAATCTGCCGCCCATTATTAAAAGATTAGAAATCTCACTCCAGCATTTCCTATAAATCTGAGAGAAGGTGAACAAATCAAACAACAGCCAAAAAATCAATCAAAGACAAAAACTCAAAATGATCACTTGATCTCAAAAACCTTCAAAGCACCGAAGCAACCAAAAGCTCATTGATTCACAGAAAAACAAGTCAGCCATAATCCAGAATCTCTAACTTCAATTCAGTTTCAGAGAAATAGTTATTCAAAGTGAGATTTCTCTCGTTACAAATTTGGTTCAGCATAAGCCAAATTAAGCATAGTTCGGTTTTTACAAATATGAAAACCTCAAAAAATTTATGAAGAGCCCTGATCAAGCAGAACAGGTACTACAACGCAGTTCCAGCTCAGTAATCACCAAATCCAGCCACTTCTGCCCCTTCCAGACTGAAAAGGTTCCAATTATGCCCATTCAAAGAGCCTTCCAGGGCTTGAAATAGATAAAAGCTCTGCCAAACTCGAACGTTGGTATCGATTTACAGCTAAAACTTGACAGTTGAAGGTGTTGATAATCCAATCCAATACAGACACATCCAATCTAGCTCGGATCAAAAGTAGCTATCCAGGCAAAAATTGAAGTCCAATGCTCTTTTTGTCTTTTTTAGATTGGTCTTTCCCTTTCTAAGTATTGTAAAAGGCAGTTCTACCTGAAACAATTTACTTTCTTGTCATTTATTCTAGCCAGAACTACCAGTTTTGTACGGGAAAAATTGTGAAGCCCTCACCAGTCTAAGGCAAAGAAAAGAACTTACTTGGGAAGATATTCCTTACCCAAATTCACAATCATTTGTTTAGAAATCAGTAACTTGGGGCGCAAGTTATTTATTTTTAAGAAGTCTGCTAGGGTCTTTATTGCTAACAGTAGCACGCTCGCACACAAAAGAAAATTGACTTTTTGACCATTCAATGGTTTTCAAGACAATGGGGAACTTTACCCTACCATCACAGGAACAAATCTAAACCGGGTGAACACAATCAAAAAGTGTAACTGAAGATCAGTTTGATTGAGAATCAAAACTGATTGTGTAACTGAAGATCAGTTTTGATTCTTTGTAATTATAGTCTTTAATGTTGTTTATAACTTCTTGTAAAAGTCAAACAAATCTCCTCTATAGCTGTACATTGTAAACATATTTGAATCAAGGGAAATCATTTTCTAACAGAAGTGTTTCTTTTGCAAAAAATTTGGGCACATGAAGAGATTATGCAGAAGACATAAGAAATGGCTGGAAAAGAATAAAGGTAAAGGAACTGATAAACCAGATGCCACCAAGCAAGGAGAAAAATGATCATAGATCAAATGCATTAAGTACCTAATATTTCAGTTGGTTTTGTTTTCCTTTTGAGCTAGTTTATGTAGTTTGCATTCTTTCCATAGCAAGGAAGTTAGAATCATTCAATAGGATTGTAAAATCACACTTCAACTTGGAGTTTGATAAGTCTGTTTCGATATTCAGCAATAAAGTTTGGTAGACAAAGTTTTGATTTTGGCATATTAATTCAACTGCAAGTTTCTATCTCTGAATGTTCATTTATTCAATCTCTGAATGTTCATTTATTCAATCTCTGAATGTTCATTTATTCAATCTATTAGAACCGTCGAAAAGTTTTGTCCCGTTACTCAATCTCTGAATGTTCATTTATTCTGATTTTCGACCTATATGATCTCGAACTATAAAAAAACAAGATTGCTGGTTGGATCATTGAAACTAGTTTAGGAGTTAGGGTTTAGGGATTAGGGTATAGGTTTTAGGGTTTAGGGTAAAAGGGTATGGGTTTGCGCGACGAAGACACAAATTATTCGTCGCGCAAAGTTCACACGAAAATACTTGCTCGACGAATATAATTTTCTTTCGTCGTGCAATTTGAGGAAGAATTTATGCCCCTCTTGGAAATGTAATATTTCTCGTCGCGCAAAATTTATTTAAATGAATTTTGCGCGACGCATTTACTTAGTCGTCGCGCAAAGTCGAAAAAGTTTTCTGAAACTCGCGATCTTCTCCTTCTTCCCCAGTTTCTCAAATCTGCCCTAAAACCTTTCTCTCTCTCCACCGTGACCTCAGCCCCTACTCCGCCTCAATTCAGACCCTGCCGCCACAAGCGTCGAACCCCGGAGCTTCTCCGCCGTCGCCGTCGATCTTGCTGCCGTGATTTCCTCTGTTTAAGCCGAATCTTAGCCGCCGTTGTTCTCTCTCCTCCGGGCACCAAATCCGGCAATTAAGGTATGCTTTCTGGACTATTTTTGCCGCTTTAGCTGATGGTTGGGTAGGATTTGATTGATTGTTTGCATAGGGTAGTGAATTTGAAACCCTAGGTTTCGGCCGGTTTTTAAATTGAAATTCCGGCCACTTCCGGCCATTTTTCGGGTTAGGTCCGAGAACAAAAGTGCCTCCAATTGATGTTTTGAACCTAGGGTAGGAACCTTGGCCCTTAATTTTTAGGATTTTCCGGCTATTGTTATCGCTTTGGGCACCCACGCGTTGCCAGCGCGTGTGGTGGTGCGTGGTGTACTGTAGCATAGGGCATTGGGTCCCAGTGCAATCCCCTCATTGTCACGAGCGCCTAGGTGTGCTTGGATTGGAATTTGGTTACCGTTTGAGTCTCGATCGGATTTTTACTATTGTGCGATTTCCGGGTTTGATATGTTCGGAGCGTTAGATCGAGCTGAAACTCACGTATGTGGTACCATGTATTTATAGGATCGTTTAGGATTCGACGGATCGTGGATCGGAGTCCTGGATACTCCGAAATCGCAAACCCTAGGTCAAACTATGATTTTAATTAATTAGTTCAATTTTTTAATGACACTGTATGTGCTAAATTTGATTAATGAAATTGTGCAGATGTCAGACTTTATTAGACGTCGTAAGGCGGTGACGACTACACCGAGTTCGGAGCCCCCGGCTTAGCCGGTATCAGCTGCCACTGCTCCAGCACTGATGAAGTAGGACCACGTGCTAGCTGGTCCTGGGGGATCCCAGACGCCTACATCATCAGCTTCTTCGGTGGTGCAACCTCTTAGCGCTAGGCGGCGGCACCGGCCCGCCAGCACCACCGACACCACATCGACCAATGGTACTGGTGCATCGGGGGCACCGCCAGGCATATATACCCTTCCACTTTCGTTTTTTCGGTCATGCCTGACGAGATCAAGATGCAAGTTCGCGGCCAGTTGTCGGTATGTTTCCTATCTTTTAATTATTTTTCTTTCAAACTTTATATATTTCTATTACTTAATGTATGTAATGAATTTATTGCAGACGAACTACCACTTAGAGGACCTCAACGAGGAGTCGATGGCGTACGTCAACAGACTCTTCGGTGAGAGGTACAAGCAGTGGAAGAGCGACTTGCACCACCATTTCAACTAATACATTTTATTTTTTATATAACAGAATAAAGCCCAAGTGAATAAGGGCAATAGGAAGAAGAAGACTCTTCTCCACCATTCCGGCTCCAGGCCCTTCTCATATAGGATGGATGCACGGCGTCGGGTAAGAATAATATAATATAATTTTTAATTTTTAATACGTCATTATTATTAATTTATTTTGTTCATACTAATATTTTCCTTCTCTTGTTCAATTTAGGGGGGTCGAAATTCCTAGAGATCAACGTCTTTGGTGACGTTTATGTTCGACCTGGGAATGAGTTGGCCGAGTCCCTTCATGTAAGTATTATTTAATTTTAATTCTTATGTTACGCTTTCAATTTATATGCATTTTTTAATTTATATTTAATGTAATGTCAAATAGACGGCGATGATGGAGAGGAGCCAGTTGGTTCTTTAAGAGTCTGCCTCCCAACTTCCTCCTGAGACTCCGATCGAGTCTGTGGATCCTCTGCAAGATGCTGGATTTCAGATTTTGACGCAGACGTTGGATCAGACTCTTGGGAGGAGGCCGGGAACATATTATACGGGGATGGGGAATGCCCGACAGAGGGAACCTCGACCGCGGTCATCGTCACAGGCAAACAGTCAGGTGACTATTTTGACATCGCGGGTTGCCGAGCTTGAGGGTCAGATGTCGGTGATTCTGCAGTCCCTCGCGCGGTCCGGTATTCCAATCCTGAATTTTGGTGCGTCAACCTCCGAGCCTGTCCACCCCGAGCATCCCCAGCAGACCACGGCCTCTGCAGACGCCCAGACCTCCGAGCTGCATGTGGCAAATGACCAAGTAGATTTTGAAACATTATTTGATTAGTTTTTTATTTTTATAATTACTTTTAAAATATTTCTCTTGTATACATTTAAAATAAATTTGCGTGACGATTAATCTTTTTATTGCAATTTCATTTTAATTAAAAAAAAAACCAAATTTATTTTTTTACAAAATTAAAAAACAAATAATATTAATTTCATTTTTAAAAAAAAAGATTAATCGTCACGCAAATTTATTTTAAATGTATATCGTCACGCAAAATCATTTTTTAAAAAAAATCCGTTGAAAAATATATTTTTAATACACTTCATTTAATCATGCGCGACGAATATTTTCGTTGCGCGAAATGTGTATGCGCGACGAATAATTTCGTCGCCCAAAATTTGTATGCGCGACGACTCTTTCGTCGTGCAAAGACTAATTGCGCGACTAAGCTTTTTTCGTCGCGTAAAGTTCACGTATCGCACGCGACGAAAGTCTCCGTCGCGCATTCTTGGTGTGACGAACAACATTTCGTCGCGCAAAAGTTTGTGCCTCGGACATTTGGGTCGTCCCGAAATGTTTTTTGTAACGAAGGTACTATACGTCGCACTGTTTGTGCGACGAATGTTATTCAGGCGTCGCGCAAAGTCTTTGTTCACAATCTTTGCGCGACGGATTGTGCGCAACGAAACTTCTGTCGCGCATAATTATGTGCGACTAAAATCATCTTTGCGCGACGAACATTCCTTCGTCGCGCAAATCCTAAAATGTTGTAGTGTATACAAACCTAAGCTATATGACATTCCAGAGGAGTTTTGATGTGGAATTTTTCTCCACTCATGCTATGTTAGAGTATCAATCTTCAAGTTTATCAATCTTCAAGTTTCTTTCCTAAGTGTCTTGAGAGTACAAATATATAATTGGTTTGTCAGAGACTTAAATTGAAGTGCTTCAATCTAGGATTATTGATTGTTGAATCCTGAGAGATAAACGCCTATAGAATTGCGAGCACAAGGGCAGGGGCGAAATATGTCTTTTGGGCATTAATTGCAATTCTTACAAGCCTCAATCGCTAAAGTTGTTAGTATTTCTACACATTTGTGTTTGTTTTGTTGCATATTTGATAGTTACAATTTTGTTGAGAATTATTATAATCATATTTTATATTGTTTTGCCAACAGGTAGTTCATATTGGGAAAAGTTACGGGCACACAAAAGAGAAGTATTTAAGGGACTAAAAGGAAAAGTTTTGAGTTTACTGCAGAAAAAACAGTAAAGGAATACTTAACACAGACATAAATGAGAAGTTTTGTTTTACCAAATGATCAAAGATGTTTTAACAAGACTGGTGTTTCAGAACTCAGAAGAAATTGTCCAAGCCAACTACACATATTGGTATTTCTCTCTCTTACAGAATCAACAAGAAAAGAAGCACTACTATGGACAAATTGCAGTAGACTAAGTATGTTTGAAGTAAAATAAGAGGATCACACAACAAGAAATATGAGAATGCAATAAGTAATGGAGAGGAACGAGTCTCAGAATTATTGGTATTAACTCAGGAGGTGTAAAACTCGTCAGTGAGTTCACAGAACCAAGGAAATTCGAAAGGTGGAACAAGAAAATTGGTGGACAAAAGTTTCACATAGCAACCAACATAGTGATAGTTCACTGGACCTTTTCATAATTTTGGTAGTCATCTTTGACCTACACCTGCTCCGAGTGAAAGTTAAAACTCTACTTTCTTGAATAAAGAAATAAGGAAATTTATGTTATTTATAGGGTTTTCATTCAAGAAAGGGGAGAAGAGAGTTTTAAGAACAGTAGTTAAAGATTAAAGTAAAGTTCAAGATGCTGTAGAAATTTTGTTCATATTTGTACATGAATATGAGACTCAGTGGGAGGTATTGAGGCATTGATAAAGAAAAATTGTACTGCGTATTACTCGTTTCAAGTGTAAAATATTGGAAATTGTACATTCTGATCGTGACTTCCGCAAACTGTCGGCAGCACCAATCGACAGCTTCCTAGTCATTGTCAACTTATGAAATCTGTCGAAGCTACTAAGACATGCCCATATTGGTTAACATTGAAGAGTCTTATGTAGCATCTTTTGACAAGAAGCAATTCAAGTTTACATGATGTTAGAAGGTTTACTTCAGGATTGTGCAATGAAAAGACAGATAGAGGACTGATTTTAACTAGAGTTTGTATTGCATAAAGGTACTCAATAATCTTTAGAATTGGTAGTTTGTTTTGTATGTGAGATACTAGTTGATATTGATCCAATGAAGAACATGCACTAGACAGATTGAAAATACAAAAACAAGTTTTAAGGCCTAGATAACAAGGAAGCTCACTGGGTATAGGCAGCTTATTGGACAGCAAGAAGGAAATCACTAAGGAAATTGTAAACAGGTGAATGGGTATAAATCCTATTTACCGAAGAATATTGCTAAGACTCTTTGAAGTTGATGTCTGATTATAATGTTTGGTTTGGTTAGATTACAATGTTTTCATAACAGTATATTAGACTCAGTATCTATTCGGTTGTAGAATGATAGCAGTTAGTTTCTTGGATACAGTTTGGTGATCAATGAAAGCATTGCACAAGGTTATATATACAATTAGGACGAATTAGACAAGCACAAAGGCATTCAAAACCCCATCTAGAATAATAGCTTATTAAAGGATCCAACGCCAATATTAATTTGCCCAAGGTGATCCAATGCCAAAAATCCAATCTAAGATCAGCAAAAACTTCCAAACGTTAGTAGGATTGATATAGCTTATCAATCCCTGCACGTTCTGAACAAAGTACTTAGAATTTAATCCAATTTATGTTACAAAAACAGAGAAGAGAATAGCCGGAGTCTTTTGGCATGCATACAATTATTCAAAAGAACAAATATCTAAAGACTTAGTATCAAATCGAAGATTATCTAAAGATTTTACAACAAGACATTTAAGATCCAAAGTTTCTGACACTCTGAAAGGTTAGTCTTTTAATATACGCAGCCCGTATAGTTTACATCAATATCCCAAAATAAATACTGTTTTGACTCAGCATCCGTGGCTAGTTGTTTTTCAGCCACAAATATACCGGGCCATGTGTTTGGTGCCACAGATTAACAGTAAGTGTGTGGCTATTACATCAGCAATGGCCACCATTCAGATGAGGTGGCTAGGAAAACAGTGGCTACAACTCAATTTTCTATTTAAACAGGATGAGCTCGTGCCTTGCAGGGCCAGTCCGACCATTTGACACCTCTAAATGGATGGATGAATTACATTCGAACTTGGAGAACCAAGGCTAATTTTGGTTAATTATTGATCTGTGGCTGCCAACCAAAATTATAGATTGAAGATTGAGTGATAATTTCTACAGTTTTAAAAATAAAATACAATAAAATGGATGAAAATAAAAAAAATTCGGGATCTATATGACCACAAAAGTAGGGTACGTTCCCTATTTTCTAGTTAGTGTTTGTTTGATGATATGTGGGGCTCAGAGTCAGTTATTTAATCATCTTGACATCGACTTTTGTTAATGGTGCTGGGTTTGGCTCAGAAATAAAATGATAATGAATGATAGTATTGATGATCTCCCAGAGGTTTTATTGGTTGAAATCATTTGTCGACTTTCTTGTATCAAGTTTGTTTTTCAATGCAAGTGCGTGTCCAAGCGTTGGTGTGAACTCATCTCTAGTTCTCATTTTGTTGGGCAATATGTACGTCGCCAACGTGATTTGAAAACGCCCATTTTAGGTACAGTAGTTGTAGACAATGGAACATTCTTTCGGGTGGAAAACGAGGATGGTCTGATGATCGAGGATGGTCTGATGAGTTTGCAGCTACCTGTTATTTCAGAAGCCGCAGCAGAACAAAAATTATTTGTGGTAGGGGCGTGCAACGACTTAGTTTTGTGCTGCCCAAGCGAACTTGATCAACGTGATTATTACATTTGCAATCCATACACCAAGAAATGGGTTGCTCTTCCTCCCCCTCCTCGAATCCATAATTGGGTAAGCGTAGGGTTCATTTGTGATCCCTACTACAACTACAACTCATCTTCCTCCTTCGATGATGATGTTTCCATTAATGCTGAATATAGGTGGAGGGTTGTGCGACTACGTCAAGAGTTCTATGTGGACATCTTCTTTTCTGAGACCGGTGAATGGAGAGAGTCCGCTAATGTGGTATGTGGCCTACGAAATTATTTTGATATCATAACTGCTGGCGTTGCTTGCAATGGGAAGTTGTATTTTTCAGGTTCCGATCATGCATCCTCCTATATTCTGGAGTTGGATCCCTTCCAAGGTATCAGTAATATCAGTACTAGTAATGGTGATGGTGATGGCGATCATATTATTGTTGACAAATGTCGGTTCAGTCTGGCACCTCTTGATATGTCGTCTAAAGTGCGAGGAAATTCCCTTTCGATGTATCGGGTTCTTGGTGCATGTCGAGGGCATTTGCGGGTGACCGAGTTTGTGCTTGGTAATCATTTGAGTGTCTGGGAGTTGGATGCAGGCGATGATAATTTGAAATGGCGTTTGGTGGTCGACAAAGTTCCCTTCTTCGAGTTGGATTCCTCCTATTATGATGATGTTTCTTTGACGCCTCTAGATCAGTGTGCAAAATTTGCGATAGGTTTCCACCCGAGTATTGAGGATACCATCTACGTAGATGCTATGAAAATTATCAGGTGGAACTTTGGTGCAAGAATGTTTGAGTTTGTTCCAGAGATTCGAAGTCGGGCCATGCGTTGGAATCTCAATTTCATCCACCCATTTGTGCTCCCATGGTGGCCCACACCCGTTCCTAGCCTCTAAACTATTCTACTATAGCGAAAAGTGTGTAAAGCTCTAGCTCTGACTCTAGCTTTGATGCATGACCACCTTCTTCCATTCTCTGGTTACTGGCTCCTTTGGCTTTGGCTTGTGTTTTCCCTTGATTGATGTGTTCGTATTGGTGCTTTGAGGGTTTCGATTTTGGTGTAGTAGGTGATTATTGTGTGACTATCTTTGTATTTGCGCTGGTTTTTTTTTTTTTTTTTTTCATTGGTGTTTATGATATTTGGTAGTCAAACTCTCCATAGTCTTTATTGTTATATATGGGTGAGTGAATTTTGGGGAGAGCATGTCTTACTGCGAAAATAAGATGAATGTCAGATTTTTTTTACATAAGCGTAACAACAGTTGTTTAAAAAAAATATCCACAAAAATAATGTAATGTGTTATTGTAGGGGCTTTTTCGTTCCGGCAGCTACTACGGGCATTGGCTGCCGTAAAGGGTAGATGGATGAAATTGCCCCTTGAGCCTAAGTTCGAAGATCAAGCCCCAAGAATGCTTCGAAAGGATAGTAGGGCCTTAGGAAACACCTTGGTTACCTTCACCAATGAAAATAACGACAGCTTACAGATAAATTTTCTAGCTTGGCATGAGAAGCTTGTGGCATGGGAGTTTAGCACTGAAGAGAAAACTAAGTGTTCCTAGGGGAAAGATGGGGTATTAAAGTTGGAGAGAAAGGATTTTGCAGAGAGGTTTGGTTGAGCATGAGGAAAAAGAGAGAAAAATGTGGCTTGAGTGTTTTTTCGGCAGCTTGACAGAGACTCCGTCAAGTGTTAGAACAGCTTGCCAAGAGGGAAAACTAAGGAAAAAGGATGAGCTGAGCACGAAATTGCTGGGTTTTGGGAGTAAGAGAGGAAGCTTGCTCTCTGATGTGGTTTATGCTTGTTGGGTAAAAGAGGCCCCCTTTTATAGTCGCTGGAAGCTGGCATTTTCCAAGAAACCCTAATGGTTTCTATCCAATTTGGCTAAGTCTTTCCCTTCCTTTCTCCCCTCATCCCTTCAATCATCCTATTTTGGTGAAATTTCCTCTGCCTATTTGCATAAAATCAAGGATTTTGGGTGCGCAAAGCCCTTTCCCGCAACTGCCTCAGAACTCCCATTTTCAGTTATTTCCTTCCTTTCCTTCCTTTTTTTATGGCCAGGTCTGATGAGCAAAAGAGAGTGGGTATGCTTGCTGGTTCAAAGGGTGATCTGCGCTCCAATATCCCTTGGTCATTTGGAAGTTTTTGCTTGAAACTTGTTCCTCCCATGTGCTGGAGCTTCCTAGCAGCTTTTCAGACTTTCCTTCGTGGCTTTATTCTTCAGCCAAGTGCTGGAACTTTGCAACTCTTCTATTGTAATTGTATGAGCCAAGTTGATTTATTGAGTAAGTGGGCTTTCTTTATCAAATGTTTGGGCTTTTGGTTGAGTCAATAGACTATTTTGGTTGGGCTATTTTTCTTTGGAGTGATGAGCTATTCTTTTCTCTCTTGTGCTTACCCACATGTTTCGGCCTAAGAAATGGGATTGAGTTCCGAGGCTCCTAAGCAACCCCGGGACTTCCATTTCTCGGCCCATCAATGGGCCTCATGACAATTTATTACCATCCATACCACAACTCACTCATGCAACGCATGGTTTGAGCCCATTTAAGCTTGTAGCGTGACATGTTGCTTATTTGCTTGGCGTGGCATGTGTGCAAAGCGTATATGACGAACTTTGGCTTGCCCAAATTGGATTTCTTCTTGATAAGGTATCACATTGGGCCGAGAACTTATTTGGGCCGAACCGTGAATTTTTTGGGCCTCAATAGTTATATTTTAGGTTGTAAGATAATCTAATGGGTAAGATTACAGGAAAATAATTTTAAATGCTTGCACTACACTATATAGTACTTATATTTGGTATGCCCCTTGCCCTCCCTCTCCACTTTTTTAAAGAATTCAATTAATAGATTATAGATTGTCATGCCCCAAAATCTGGACACGTGACAGCAACACGTACCTTGAAAATCCCAAAAACACCTAAGTCCCATGTGCTATATTTCCAAAATTCTCAATATACATTAAGCCCTTTTATCTAATTAAAATGGATTGGATCATAGTTTTCAATGGCACCAGAAAAGTAAATAAAACATTATATAACATTTTATTTGAAAGATAAACCAACCCCAGAGGTCATGGAATAGTACCAATAACCTAAGAAGCTATTTTAAAAAACAGATTATGAAATAAAACATCATCAACCCATCCATAATTCATTTTTATACAAAGGAAGGAGAAACATAACCAACATCAAAGAATAGAATTCAGGACTTGAGATTATGTGGAATAGGATCAATATTGTTGACAAGTTGGGAAGTTGCACCCAGATGTCACCCAGGGGTATAATCTACATCAAAAGTAGGGGAGTATCACATACGTTCATCTACCCAACAGTCATGACCATGTTTAAAATTAAATAGCAAACACGAACCATTTTCATTGGATCCAAAACCATTGGCATGCTCAGGAAATTTTCTGCAAACGTTTTTCGGTGCACCTGTGTCAGCTTATCTAATGACTGATTCTTATAGGCCAACTACCCCTACCAAAATCACAATTATATCCAACTCACCTCGTACGCTAGTGAGAGTGTCCATTTATCAGTTGCACCTCATTGACTAAACCTCGCACGTAGGATATTGCTAAAGCCGGGCCGCGTAACCCCTTTGGAGGTTAGGAGATCAAAACGCAGGGTGCCTTCAAATTTTCCTTGCTTGGGCAACTAATTCCTAGTCCAACATTCAAACATGTTACTAAAAATTCTTATTTTCAATTTAGTCCTTATACTTATTCTTATCTTTAATTGCACTTTGATCCTTATACTTATCAATAATTTCCAGTATTTGCACTTTGGCCCTTATACTTTCTCCAAATTACATTTTAGTCGTCATACTTTTTTATAATTGTAAATAGATCCTTGAAGTCTCAAGTAATTGCAATATAGTCCATGTACTTTATGAAAATCCCAAAATCATCTCAAAGTCCTTGAATTTCCATTCATGATCAAAAAACGGTAAGTTTCACGGTACGGTATGGTTTGAAAATGTGCGAGTTCTTTTACGTCTTTTCTTTTTCCGCCTTCATGCTTTAATATGGTCATAAAAGTCTTTTCCTTTTCCTTTTCCGTCTTTTCTTTTTCTTTCTTTTTTTGGGTCTGAGATTTACAATTGAGGTTTATAATAGGGATTTGTAATTCGGGCTTATCAGTTTATCAGTTTTCTAAAAATTTCATTTTGTATTAATCTGAAACTCTTCATCTCCTTCTCCTTATTTCAACAGATTTTGTTGCCTCGCTTTTTTCTACCAAATTTAAGTTTTGGTGCGTGTTATTCCCTTCCAGAAGCCCTCCTATACTCTCTGCGACCCTAACCCCAAATCCAAAGCCTCTCATATCTTCTTAGACTCCTCTCTCTCTCTCTCTCTCTCTCTCTCTCTCTCTCTCTCTCTCTCTCTCGTTTTTCTCTTTGATTAAACAATTATGTGGTCAACAAGGGTTTCATTGAGAGATTTGGGGGTGTATTCAATTGGGATTTTAAAATACTATTTTGGAATAAATAAGTCTTGTGGTATTCAATTAAGACTTTTAAATAATCTAAAAAGTCTTGTGGTATTCCGTTAAGACTATTAGGAGTTTTTAAAGAGGGTTACTAAATCTGGTGGTATTCAATCAAGACTTTAAACAAGTAACAAAAAGTCTTATGGTATTCAAAAACTTGTTAATTTTGAAGGATTTTTTTAAAATGCGGAATATGTGAGATTTTTCAGTGAGAGGTATAAATATCAAACCCTATCTCAAATCCCACCTTAATCCATCAGATTTTCACGTGAGACTTTTTTTATTAATTCCTTCCTCACCTTGACCTCCGCCCAAGTAGTTGTGCACTGTCCCTAACGACCAAACCATCAATACCTAGAGCTACTTGCTGTTGGGTGTAGGCAACGACCTTCCTTCCATCCCCATCTCCCTTTCTGTTGCATGATAAAATCTTGTGAATTCTCCGTCACCTTCAACCCCCCAATTCACAAATAAAAATCTCAACTTTGTTCTCTTATTTTTCTGTGGTGGGGCAGTGGGCTGACGAGATAGAAGACATGGAGGGGCGCATAGAGAGTTTTTCTGTTTTTTTTTTTTTCCTCTGATTCTATAATTGACCAATAAGAAGTGGGTTTGTTGCCAATGTGTATATTGGAAGATCTTTGGTAAGTTTTATGGTAGATGCAGTGAGTTACAGACTGCCTATAGGGCGTTTGATGAAATGCCTGTGAGAAATGTGGTGCCATGGACATCCATTATTTCAGGGTTTGCACAAGAGTGGCAGGTTGATGTGTGTGTGCAGCTTTTTAGTGAGATAAGGCATTCTTCAAAACCAAATGATTTTACGTATGCAAATATTCTGTAGAAAGAATTAATACTTTTTTCTCTTTATAATTATTGTTGAGTGACTGACTTGGAATTTTCTGTTAAGGACATCCTCAATATCCATTGTTAAGAACTAACTTTTAAAATCTGCAGCTTCCACAAATGGTCCTTTGTTTAAATTTCACAGAATTTGAAATTCAGAAATTATTTACATTTCTGCTGTTTCATAAATTTCCCAACTTGTAAACGAGTACTTGCTTGTTGTCATTGATCGTTGAAAAAGTTTTGGGTTTTTCTCTTACTCTGCAATTTGCTTTTTTGGTTTATGGGGATGTCCTTTTGGTTCGTAAGAAAGTTTCTTTCATTCTTTTCAAAACAAGTTTCTTGGGGTTGTACTTAGTTTTATCTGCAACCTCACTTTCTGTTTTATTTTTGAAATAGTGAAGCAAATATTATGAAGGCTTACTACTGCTATATAAGAGGTGCATGCGGTCTTATGTTATTCTTCTTTTCCAACTATATGCATTAGGGGTGGGCATAATACGATACGGTACGGTATTGAGCTCGTACCGCTACCGATACTAGAAATTAAAATCAATTTGGTACGGTATGGGATTATCGTTTGCCAAAATTGGTACCGTACCATACTGTGCCAAATCTGTATCGTGTGTGAAACGGTACCATTTTGGTACCAAAATTGCACAACTCAAAAATCAACCAATTCAATATTCAACAAATTCATTCACGAAAATAAGTGATGCCTAAGTTATAGATTCAAAGATTCAACATATTCAATATCAAAATCCTAATCAACCAAATCAATATCCAGAATTCTAAGGAAGCTAGTTGCTTGAGGCTTACCTTACCATAAAGAAGAAACACAACAACACAAGGCATGCACTTTGGCCTTTGTGGTTGTAGCACCTACCTAATATACAAGTACATTTTGTATATATAT